TGAGCTTTTTAAGAAGCAGAAATAATACTACTGATTAACTATATCACATTAAACCCGCTCATTTTTAGCATGAATTGAGAGTTTATATATATATATATATTAAAAGGGGTATGTTTGTATTACAAAAAGTATATTTCTAACCAGCTTTTCCTTTTCTTTTGAGAACTCATCCTTTCAGCTAATAATTCTTGTTTTTTTGTTTATTTTAAACTGTTTGTATTTTATAAATCACGAAAATATTTCGTTTTCTAGAACTCCTAGTTATATTCCTTATAGGCAGCTATCATGTCTACAACACCTCAGTTTCTGCAGTGCATCAACATTAAACAAATTAGCTTCTATTCTCTTAATGGGGAAGATTTCCTTTGCCAATGTCAAGTATACATTTCCATTATCCTCAGATAACAGAGGAGGAAGAGGGAGATTAGGGAGTTTCATGACTTGGTCAGTTTGGGACCAATCAAGATCTAAGCTTTTATGGCATCTGTCTACAAGTATGGCAACAGAGTGTGAGACACATCTTAGAACAGGCATGTCAAACTTGCGATGTCACATGACATTGTGTGATGTATCACGACTTTTTCCCCATTGCCGGCAATGGAGTGGGCGTGGTTTCAGTATGATGCATCTGGCCCACAGGCCAGTAGTTTGACATGCCTGTCTTAGAATGTTAATAATATAGACAGTTATTTGCCAGTGCCTTTATGTTTCAATATATTATAGTCATGGCAGTCTTACAGTCCTAAAAATACATGTGTCTTGCAGCCTAACTCCAAATGATAAACACAGCAAAGATAAATATCCCTACTGATTTCTGATTTTGGTATATTTATAAATTAAAGCATAGCTTCTGTGATGCATTCATTTGATTCAGATAAGAAGCAGGAGAATGTTTACTTATTACAGGAAAAAATACTTATGTCCTGGACAAGTATAGGTAGTCCTCCCTTAATGACAGTTCATTCATCAACTGCTCAAAGTCGTGACAGTGCTGAACAAATTATAGTTGTTTCTCTATTGATACAGTAGTTGTTAATTGGTACACATATAAGAGATCAGGAAAAGAGAACAGGAAAAGAGAACAGAATTGGGAAGCAGCAGTGTGCTATATTTGCAGGAATTTGTTCCTGATTCAGCCTCTGCCAGAAGTGTTCAGTTACTTGGGGGTGAATAAGAAGCTTGTGTTTTCCACAGAACTTTTGCTACAGGCCCTTCCACACACAGCTGTGCCTGGATCTATGATTTTCCTGTCACCAGTTAACCTCCCTTCTGTGCATACCAAAGGGCATGGTCCTGCTTTCTGCCCACAACAGCCCAACAAGGTATGTGAGGCTTAAAAACCTAATTAGAAATGATCCATGATCTTCCATATTTAGAAAACATCAAATGGCAATTATGTTTCATCAATGTAAACAGAAATATTTTTTTTACCCTGTGTTCTGTCCAAAATAATCTCAAATTCAGTGACAGCTGCAGAAATTATACTATTGTATGAGAAGATATCATATACGAACTTAAAATCAAAATATTATTTTTGTCCCTTTCAGAACTGCCAGTGCCATTTTTATTTTGTGGAAATAAGTTCCTGGTTTGTTTGCTCTTCTGATGAGATAAAACCTGCCTGAAGTCACTTGATTATGTTCCAGTATTATCTTATACTATTATTCATAATCAAACAAATTTTGATGTTCTGTTTAATAAAAGATGCTACCAAATAAATGGTTAAACTGAAATAGTAAAAGGTAGTTCTATTTCACAATAAAGTGATTTTAATTTAATATATTTATGTTTGATGACATAGAGTGATAATCTTCATATTCTACATTTTTTACTTGCCAGAGGTTTTTGCATTAATGTGTGAATTAATGCACCTGGACCCTTGGTACTATATGTGATTCCTCCTATATCCCTCATAGCAACTAGAGTTTGGGCCGCCTGTGCTAGATTTTTGGCATATGTCAGTCCTTTCGCTTGCAAGACTGAATATATTTCTCCTTTAATTGGGGAAGATCCCTTCAGAAACATTTCCCATGCCATTCCCTTTCTTGGGCTGAAACATCTTTTATATGTGAACATTTTCACAGCATGTGAAGGAGAAACAATTTTCATTTCCATGTAAACCTAACATTTGGAATACTTGTGAGAGGATGGGAAGATTAACAGTTATCTCAAATCTTAACTTTAAAACTATGTATGTGATTGTGGATCAGAGGGGATTCAGATCTTTGGTAATAATTTTGTAACTTTTTCCAGATTGATAAGCAGCAATGGTTTCTTTATTAAGCTATCTAGAAATTTATTTTGAGTGAAGCATGATGTGTCTGGAATTTGTGTGGTAGGAACTTCACTATGATAAGAGGAATCAGAGAGAATGTGAAATTTATATAGCTGCATATAAACGTTTAGGCATCACTGCTCAGTTGTTTGCTACAGTGAAATCCTAAGTGAACCAAAGCTGACCCAGCCTGTACATAGTATAAAGTTAAACATGATATTTTTCTGCAAATTTCAATGCATACATATGTTAAATTGCATATATATTTAAAATAAGAAAAGAATGAATATGGCGGGTGCAAATTTTATTTTAAACCTGTAAAACACTGCACATAAATAGTACAGATAGTTCTTGACTTACGATCGGTCACTTAAGCAACCATTTGAAATTACAGTGAACCTCCCTGGGTGTACTTAAGACCCAAGGTTTGAAGTTCCGACATCCACCCCTCCATGTTCATTTCAGGTGCTCAGCAACTAGGCTGCATTTATGGCCATTTGCAGCATCCCATAGACATATGACTATGTGTTACAACAATTTTGCTGAAAACTGGCATTTACTTTTGCTTTTTGGCAAAACTGGTCCTTAGTAAATCATTGATTCACTTAACAATCACCACAAAAAAGATTGTAAAACTGGGTCAGTCATGTAGGTGACTTGAATGGCAGGCTCGATTATGGTCATTATGTTTAGCTTTGTATTATGTAGCCATAATACAAAGTTTACCAATTGTCTATTAGTTTACCAATTGTCTAGTAATTTGCATGCAACTTTATATTTTTTAAAAAAATAATTTATTAACTGCCAACTCTAGTTGATTCTGGGTGGCATATAAAACCAGAAAAACCCTAAAAACAGATGAAACCATCAAACCCAGCAGATGGCCCAGGCTTAAAAAAAAACAAAAAACTTATATACAACAAAAATCAAACAAAACAGGTGCCCTAACAAACAATAATACATCAACCACTAGGCCAGGTTTTCTGAGCTTTCTGGAAATCTAGGACAAATCCACATCTCAGGGGTGGGGGGATGCAGTAGACAAGGCTTCCTTGGTTTCATAAGTTGACAATGTTTAATAGTTTCCACTCTGCCAACACATACTGGATGGCAAGTGTTCCCTCTGTTCAGTCCCAATGCCATACAGGGCTTTATAGGTAACAACTTGTAGGGTGGTACTGGCCTAAATCAGCCCTGATTGTTTAAGAAAATACACAACTGTCCCTAGATTCCTTTTTGAATGAATTGATTGAAGGAGATTTGCGGGAGGGGGGGAGAGGGAGAGGAGTGATTATCATTTCCTTTGTTCACATTGTGTATTGGATATTTTTTTTAATTAGATAAATGAAACAGAGACTTTATTTGCAGTTGAATACTCATGTTCTTTCTATATCACAATGACCGACATGAGGTTTTAATAACATTAATGATAAAGAGTTATTAAAATTTAAACAATCCTAAGGAAAAAGAATTTTGTTGTTAATTGCGAAGTCGTGTCCGACCCATCGCAACCCCATGGACAATGTTCCTTTAGGTCTTCCTGTCCTCTACCATCTTCTGGAGTCCATTTAAGTTCACACCTACTGCTTCAGTAACTCCATCCAGCCATCTCATTCTCTGTCGTCCCTTCTTCTATTGCCCTCAATCTTTCCCAGCATTAGGCCCTTCTCCAGTGAGTCCTTCCTTCTCATTAGGTGGCCAAAGTATTTGAGTTTCAACTTCAGGATCTGGCCTTCTAAAGAGCAGCCAGGGTTGATCTCTTCTAGGACTGACCGGTTTGAACGCCTTGCAGTCCAAGGGACTCGCAGGAGTCTTCTCCAGCACCATAGTTCAAAGGCCTCAATTCTTTTGCGCTCAGCCTTCCTTATGGTCCAACTTTCACAGCCATATATTGCAATTGGGAAAACCATGGCCTGGACTATACGCACTTTTGTTGGCAGGGTGATGTTTCTGCTTTTTAGTATGCTGTCTAGATTTGCCATAGCTTTCCTTCCCAGGAGCAAGCGTCTTTTAATTTCTTGGCTGCGTCCCCATCTGAGGTGATGTTTGAGCCCAGAAAAATAAAATCTGTCACTACCTCCATTTCATTGCACTCATTTCATATGCTAGTAAAGTTATGCTTAAAATCCTACAAGCTAGACTCCAGCAGTATGTGGATCGAGCACTACCAGAAGTACAGGCAGGATTTCGAAGAGGCAGAGGAACTAGAGATCAAATTGCCAACATACGCTGGATCATGGAGAAAGCTAGGGAGTTCCAGAAAAACATCTACTTCTGCTTCATTGACTATGCAAAAGCCTTTGATTGTGTGGATCACAACAAATTGTGGCAAGTTCTTAAAGAGATGGGAGTACCAGACCATCTCATTTGTCTCTTGAGAAACCTATATGCGGGTCAAGAAGCAACAGTGAGAACCGAACACGGAACCACTGATTGGTTCAAAATTGGAAAAGGAGTCCGGCAAGGCTGTATACTGTCACCCTGCCTATTTAACTTATATGCAGAGCACATCATGAGAAAGGCAGGGATAGATGAATCAAAAGTTGGAATTAAGATTGCCGGGAGAAATATCAACAACCTAAGATATGCAGATGATACCACTCTAATGGCAGAAAGTGAAGAGGAACTAAAGAGCCTCTTGATGCGGGTGAAGAAGGAGAGTGCAAAAGTTGGCTTGAAACTCAACATTAAGAAAACCAAAATCATGGCATCCGGCTCTCTCAATTCCTGGCAAATAGATGGGGAAGAAATGGAGAAGGAATACTTCTCCACAAAACTGGAGGATGTTTAATGGATTTGTCTGACTCTCAGATATAATATTGTTTTTCTACGATTTATTGCACTGTAACATTGTAAGGGATAGTGATTCTAAAAATCAATTTTACTTAAGAAATCATACTAAAAACAAATTAACAAAACTGTATTTTCAAGAAAAAACAGCACTTTGGACATGCATTGATATTTAATTAAAAAATTATGATTGTTCATTATATAGTTTTGCAAATGCTTAAGAGTCCATTGTTTAATACAATTATTTTAATACATTTATTATTGTTTACATTACAAGTAGCATGGCATTACATATTCAATCACTTAGAATACCTCTCCACATAATAGCTTTTATAATTCTGCTTCTTCAGAGGTTTCATCTGGAAAGCTCAAAGGTCACATCATTTGGTTTATAGCTATGGACTGATGCCTACATAGGGAAATTCCTAGCATTCCATTTGTCTAGCATTTAGACCTCATATTCATCACATATCGGGTATTGGGGTTTTTTCAGGCATGCAGTAAAATTGGCAAGAGCTAAAACAAATAAAGTTCACAAAATATTTTCTCCACTTTGAAACTAGTATTTAACATAAATCTGTTTTGTGGTCTGAAAATGTAAATTTCACATGCATCTATGTAGCTAACTAACTTACTGATGGCAGTCTTCAGAAATGTGCAGCAAAAACTTTAGTAGGTTTCAGAACTATGTTTTCTTTAATGGAAGATAATTACTGATTCAACAGAGAAAATACCCAAAATCTATCATACATTGCTTTTTTAAACTATTCCCTTTTTTGCCAGGTTTCAGCAGCTAATGTTTAACTCTGCTTAGCAACTTCCTAAGATAAAAAAAAATAAATGTATGACTTTCTTAATTCTCTCCCCCTCAGTCATTGTTTTTAATTATTAAAGCATTAATGATACAACTTCAAAAGACAAATATATTGAAGTAATTTGAAAAAAAAATAGGAATAAAGAAATTATGATCATAAATATTATTTAAGTGAATGACTGAAACTCATGTTTATAGTAATATTTAAATACATTACAACTATTAAATGTAACTATAAAGATAGATGTAAAAATAACTTTTAAAGCAATTTTGTCATACCTATCCAAAAAGTAGGGGACCCTAAAGATATTCCTTAAAAAATTAAACAGAAAAAATATTTATGAAGATCATCTTCTCTATTTTGTAAACTAGGGTTGCCAATTCTATTAAAACCATGCTTGAAGATTTTTCCAGTCAGTTTTGTGTATGTGTGTGTGTGTAAATGCCCTGAAAAGAAGTAAAGCTAATTCAAAAACATAGAGTATTGAAATTAATTGCCTGTAAAACAGGCATCGCATTTGCAGAATTACCTGGTCTCTTATCTGCATGTGTACATAGGTGCAGAATAGATACTCAGAAAGATTGGAAATCTGGGGCCAGAAAATAAAAATCAATGCATGCCTCCTCTTAGAACTGCCAAACTTACTAGGGCTTTCTAGTTTCCAGGGAAATATTCATTGGTGGTTGCACAATTAATCTGTTTTACTGTACGTAAACTGGGAAAGACTGAAGAATAGATTATTTTGCCTGCAACAAGGAAATGTCTTGATAAAGACCTTTGTGCTGGGCTAAGAAGCAGAAGAAAGCAATGTATGCTTATTCTGTATTAACTTCCATTGAGTTCAATGGTTCTTACCCCAGAAAATATAAACAGGATTCATTCATAGGCTACTTTCCTTCTCCTTGTGTTTCCTTTTATGTACAATGGAGACTTTCGCCATCTACTGACATTTTCTACCAACTGAAGATTTTGAACTTTCCCTCTTAAATAGAGAGCCTCCACTATAGCTTTTCACTCTCTACAGTGCAGTACAATTAACAATTTCAGAAAGTGGTTAAGAAGAGAAGTATGCAAACCTTGTGTACTTTTTGAAGGTTTTGAACTGAGGTTTGGGTTATGATAGCCTTATCTTGTCTCCCAGTGCTCCAGACATGCCAAATGCTGCTATTTTGTGGTCTCTCAAAAGGAGCAGTTTTCTAGAACACTTGTGGGCAATCCCAATCTTCTTGTTGTCCAAAGAGGAATCGCAAAGATGTGGTCTTCTTGCAGAATGCCATTCAAAGCCTAAGGGTGGTTTTGTACTTAAAAATTGCACAAACCTGCTCACAGTGCAATAGCACACTTGGGCCTGTTTTATAGCTGCAAAACATATCAATAGAAAACAACAAATAATTAGCCATTTTTTAGAATTTTAGAATTCTAATAATTCAAACTATTAGAATATTTAAAAATCTATACCACAGAATTATTAAACAAAACATTTTAAAATAAAAATAGCAATATATGCAGAAATAAGTTTCTTCACTGTTTAATAATGGCAACATCTTCCATTCTTCAAATGTAGAAAGGAAGTTTCAGAAGTGATGACATTTCTCACACTGTTTAAATTCATATTTAAAATCTAAGCATTGGTTTATTGCCATCTCAAGCATAACTGCAGCCAGAGAACAAATATATTTTGCACTTTTCCCATTTTTCTTTCTTCAGCAACACTTTTCATAATGTGTCAGCCAGTGTGGGATGTTTGCTTTAACAATTCTCTGCATAGGGCACAAATTTATGCAGAATCAAAGTTTTGGTATTTTTCTAAATCATTTATTGATTATGTGCTATCAGGTTGGTATCAACTCCTACCAACCAGATAGGTAGATTTTTTACAGGATGATCTATTCCATTCTGGTCCTTCAGACAGTGTATCCATTGACACTACAATTAGAGTATCAGTCTTGCTGCTGATCTTCCTGTTCTTTTCTTTCCTTCCACCTTTCCCAGCATTAAATATTTTTAAGAGTGCTAGGTCTTTGCATAATGTGTCCATAATATGATAATTTGAGCTTGGTCATTTGTGCCTGGAATGAGAATTCAGAATGGATTTGTTTAGTTATCCATTTTGTTTGTTTTCTTAGCTACTCATAGTATCCTTAGACTTCTCCAATCTCAAAGTTCAAATATGTTAATTTTTTTTTAACCTGCTTCTTCAACAGTCCAACTTTTGCTTCCATTGAGTGTCACAAAGAAAACCATTGCCTACTTAATTCTGACAATAATGAGTCTGGGCATCTCATTTTTTCTAACCACATTCCACAGCTTGATATGGTTGATATAATTGAAAGACTTTCTCTAACCAATAAATTATCATTTTAATTCTCAGTTATCTAGCATGCATGAGCAGACCATAGAGGTTTTTTTCTGTGACAATTTTATTTTATTCAAAAAGTTAAAATAAAAAACCAAAAGAAAAATATTAAGCAGAGGCAAAAGAAAACTAAACAAAAAGATTGAAAAAATTGTGAATTAAAAAAAGGACAAAAACACATATTACCCCTCCTAGTTGAACACTTAGCAATAACTATTGCAATAACAGTAGCTTCTCCCCTTGCAAAGCAGTTCCAAAATAGCTTCTACATCTATTTGCAACCCAGTTGACCGGTCATATATTACACATATAAAAGAAAAAATAGTTAACCGGTTAAATAACAGCGCAGATAAAAGTTCAAAGCACCCTGTTAACAGTCTGTTATTGTCATTTACTTGTAGAAAGTCTACACAGTTTCTTATTTACCACAACTCATTCTGATTGTTATCTCTAAGTCCAGGATCAAATACCCTTGTTCAGTTCTTAATAGTGAAATCTTTCCTTAGGTTTTTAATTGGGAATTTTCTCAACAATTGCATCTCCTTTCCAAAGTTCATAAGTCTCTGTTGTAAATATCTTTGCAACATCCATTGTTGAATAATTCTCCTTGACAATAAAACATTGCTCTTCCCAAGAAAGTCCAGCCCATCCTTCATAATATTCATTATCTCAACATTTCTTATATTTTTATTCTTTTCAATCTTTTCTGGCAGGTCTATATTTTTCAAACCAAACACTTTTTTCTTCAGATCTGACAGCAACATATCACATTCCAATTCTTCAAATTGCAAATCAGATCCAGCTGTTATATCCTGCTTTTGGATATCATTTTGTGTTTGCAGATTTGTTATTGACCCATCCAATTTTTTGTTTATGTGTTCAAATAAAACCTGTAAGTTGGGAGAGGATTCTTTTTTCACTTGCCTCCCAAAATATTTTATCTCTTTTTAGAGGCATGAAAAAGGCTTTCATTTTCAAGGATGAGAGAAAGAGATAGTAGGAAAAGGATTGTTTCCCCCCCCTCCCCCAGAGTTAAAGAAAGTCAAAAATTAACAGATAAATATTAATGCTGGTTTTTTTAAAAAAAGAAAAAAGCTAGAAAGAGCAAAATTTATAATATAAACCTGTGTAAATGTGAGTCCCATTGCAACTTCATTACAGCTAAAATAATTTAAAATTTGATAATAAACAATGAAAAAAACAGAAAAAATGGTTGTAAAAGTCCAGCAAGGGCTTATAAAATAGTCAGAAGTCAAGAGATTGTAAAGCTTCAAAAATGCAGTTAAAACCCAGGCATGCTTAAGAAAAATGAGCAGCTAAAGGAAAAAGGTAGCAAGAGACCAGATTTTCTGATTGCTGCTTACTGAAAATTGCAGCATCTAGACCCCCTCTTCTCCGTCAGTGCACGATCTTATGAAGGTTGTCTTGGGTCCTTCCTTGACTCCCTTTCAAAGCCACCAAATAATCAGCTTTGGTAGCAAAATCAGCTGTTCGTCAGTGGGAGAAAAAGAATCTCCATTTAGCAAGCCATCACGGGGGAAGGGCTGACCATAAGGTTTTTAAATCAATAATAATGAAGGTAATAAATTCATATTTCATAACATACTATGATGCTTTTTTTGCTTCTGACTAAATAGAAATCTTTTATCAGTGTAACAAAATGTTTTAATGTGGTAGCCTTCAGGCACTTCAGTGATTTGTATTTGAAATTTCTGCTCAAGTGTATCCAAGTCACTGAAGTATTTTGATGTATCAATGAGCAAAATTCACATTGTTTCAAGCCTTAGCTATATATATATAAAATAAAATGTTGCAGGAGTCCTTTAAATTTGTTGCTTTGCTCTAAAAGATTTCAAAAATATTTTAAAATACCATTTGCAAAAAATGATATATATTAAAACAGATTTAAGCTCAAAAAAGATTAATAACCTGTTGAAATGTCTTGTTCCCACTCATAATGCCCCTTGTGTAATTGCAGCACGCAGGCTTGTAAATAGAAAAGAATTCTTTCACCTCTACCTATCCCCTATAAAAATATAGAAAATCCTAGCCATATGTAGCTGTTGGATAAAAAATAATGATTTGATAACATTAGGAGTTGCCATCTGGAGGCATCTTCCAGAGTTCCATAGCTTTAGTCTGACCTGCTAACCTTTATATCCAATAGTTTCTATCAGGAATGAACTTAAATGTGACTGGGTGGTAAATTCCAGACTGCTTCCTCCATTGCATTCTTTGGATATAAAGCATTTTCATGGGGAAAAAAGCTCAAGACCATTCCAAGATTGATGTAGCCTGTTAAGAGAAAGGACAAGATTGTGTTGCATATTGCTTCAGTTCCTTGTATAGAAACAGATAGAACTGCTGATTGAATTTTACATCAGTACAGTACTGACAAAACAGGAGATATCCACTGCCATATTTATAAATGGGAAGATAGAAAACAAGCTGAATAGAACATGGAGATTTGTTCTTCCAAAGAGGAAGACATATGGAAGCTGCCAGTGTTGTGCCCTCAATATCTCATTTTGAGGCTAGCATCTCAACTTTGCCTAAAGATAGGACCAGAAAATAACAGAATAACAGAATTGGAAGGGACCTTGGAGATCTTCTAGTCCACGGCTTTTCAACTGGTGCTACGTGTACCACTGGTGGTACTATGGCATTTGGCAGGTGGTATGCGACCTAGACAAGTGTAGTAGGAGGATGAGCTGAAGTGGCGGCAGTGCCAGAGAAGCCCGAGAGAGAGTCAGCTGGAGCTATGGTGTTGCTGGGGCTCTGCTGAGGGCCCAAGATTGGCACACATGGCTAAAGCTGATTGGCACTTCTGGTGGCCTCGGGGATGGCTGGCAGCCCCACACAGTCTTTGGGTGGAGATTCAGCTGGAGCTGCGGTGTTGCTAGGGTGCTGCTGAGGCACTGGATTGGCGTGTGCAGCTCCAGCTGATTGGTGCTTCGGGCAGCCTCTGCTATTAGTAGGAGCAGCAGATAAACCTTGGAGTGAGAGTGTCAGCTGGAGCTGCAGAAGCCCCAGGATCGGAACACGCAGCTCCAGTTGATGAGCACTGTGTGCAGGGGGCAGCTGAGGAGTTGATGACTGCATGGGGTAGCCACTGATGCTGGAGCCCTCCATGAGACCCAGAGAGTGGTGCACCTGGAAGAGAAAAGGAGGAGAGGATATAAAAGGTGGAGGAGGGGAAGGAGAGAGGAGAGGATATAAAAGGAGGAGGTTTTGGCGGGAGAGGGAGAAAAAAAAGATGGGGAAACAGAAGGGGATGGAGAAAGAGACAGGGAGAAGAGGAGAGGCTTTTGTGAGACAAGCAGTGAGGAGAAAGAGAGAAGCTTCTGTTAGGCAAACAGTGAGGAGAAAGAGAAGAGAGGATTCTGTGAGACAAGTAGTGAGGAGAAAGAAAGAGGAGAAGAGACTTCTGTGAGACAAACTGTGAGGAAAAAGAGAGGAGAGAAGAGGAGAGGCTTTTGTGAGACAAGCAGTGAGGAGAAAGGGAGAGGAGGACAGGTTTTTGTGAGACAAGCAGTGAGGAGAAAGAGAGAGGAGAAGAGAGGCTTCTGTGTGACAAGCAATAGCACTTAGATTTATATATTGCTTCACAGTGCTTTACAGCCCTCTCTAAGTGGCTTACAGAGTCAGCATATTGCCCCCAATAATCTGGGTCCTCATTTTACCAACCTCGGAAGGATGGAAGGCTGAGTCAACCTTGAGAATTGAACTGCCAAACTGCTGGCAGTTGGCAATCAGTAGAAATAGCCTGCAGTACTGCATTTTAACCACTGCGCCACCACAGCTCAAGCAGTAAGGAGAAAAAGAGAGAGAGAGAGAAGAGGAGAGGAGAGGCTTATGTGAGACAAGCAGTGAGGAGAAAGCGAGGGAAAAGAGGAAAGACTTCTGTGGGACAAGCAGAGGGATCAGCAAAATAGTAGAGGTTGTGAAAGAGAGAGAGAGGAGAGGGAAAGAGGAAAAGAAGGGCCAACCAGTTACATGACCATTACATATTAATAAATATGGATAAATTTGTAACATGTTCATCAGTGCAAAGGGAAAGTGATTCAGCAAAGGAACCGCCACCGAAGAAATTAAAACCGGTACTTTTTTCCTTTTTTTTGGTCATCAAGTTTTTGACACCTTGCTAAACACTGGTGTACTCAAATATTGTCATATCCTAAAAGTGGTACAATCTGTGAAAAGGTTGAAAAGCATTGTTCTACTTCAACCCCCTGCTTAAGCAGGAAACCTTATACCAGTGTTTCCCAAACTTGACAATTTTAAGGCATGAGGACTTCAACTCCCAGAATTCCACAGCCAACAACGCTGGCTATGGAATTCTGGGAGTTGAAGTCCACATGCCTTAAAATTGTCAAGTTTGGGAAACACTGCCTTATACCATTTCAGACAAGTGGCTGTCCAGTCTCTTTTTAAAAACCTCCAGTGATGGAGCACCCACAAGTTCTGAAGGCAAGCCTTTCCACTGATTAATTGTAACTGTCAAAAAATTTCTCCTTATTTCAAGGTTGGCCCTCCCCTTTATTAGATTCCATCCATTGCTTCTTGTTCCACGTCACCACAATAATATGTTTTTACATTTCTTGCTATGCAAAGATGACAAATATACATGTGCTGACACATGGTGAAAAATGAAACAATTTTTACACTCTTACTAAATATTTTAACTCTTCTTGAGCTGCCTGATAGAATCAACAAATTGGAAGGTTTCTTGGTGTCGGATTCACTTGATAATCTCTGACACATGACACTTGACCCTTTAGCCTCCAGTTGGAATTCTGGGAGTGCTGGATTGTGAATGCACTAATTATGGGAAAATCATAGTGCCAATAGGCACTGTCTTAATGCAGCATACTGATGTAGAACATTATTTTTTAGCCTTTTATACTAACACAGACATTTGTTTAGTGACCATTTGAAGTTTCAACAGCGGTGAAAAAAGTGACTTATGACCATTTTTCACACTCAAGACCATTGTAGCATCCCCATGGTCACATGATCAAAATTCAGGCACTTGGCAACTGGCATCTAATTATAACAGTTGCACTGTTCTGGTGTCATGCAATCACCATTTGTGACCTTCCCAGCTGACTTCCAACAAACAAAGTCAATGGAGAAAGCCAGATTCACTTAATGATGACATGATTCACTTAACTGGAATGATTGGAATGATTCACTTAATAACTGTAGCAAAAGAGATCATAAACTGGGGCAAAACTCAATTAACAACTGCCTTGCTTAATAACTGAAATGTTGGGCTCAGTTGTGATAAGTTGAGGACTACCTGTATTGAATTGCTTTGATATCTACCAAAGATATAAAATGTCTTGTTTTGTGTAAATTTGTCAACTGCAGATGGAAATGAACTAGATAACCCCTAAACTATTGTTGCTTTTAATAACACCTTTATCCATATAAAAGTCATAAACTGAAAATATTACTTGCAATGAATTATGAGATTAGTAGCCTAACATTCTATGGAATGTTAGGGAAAAACAATGATAATAGTATGCTGACATACATAGTTAACCTTTTAAAATGCAAGTTATAATATTTCTTCCCCATTCTACAAGTGGATGATATCTGAATTTATTATGTGAGAATGATAGCAAAAAGTATGTTTGTTAATGAGCTTGAAATAGTTTATCTTGCCTGAGTGTCCTCTTTATAAATTGGTCTATTGGGGCCAATTTGCTGCAAAATGTTTTGATCAATTGGTGCACATTTTTCTTACTAAAACTTAAACCAAGGTTCTGTTGTTAATCACAACTGCCCTCCATGGTTTATGAACTCTGGGTAGGGAACTAAGGCCTTACTCTGACTCCTGTTGCTCCACCCGGGAACTGATTCATTGCCCTTCTTTTGCTTTTGCTGCCCAACTAACTTTTGATTTGTCAGTTTATTTGTACCTGGATGTTTTCATAGTGTGGTGGAAAAAATAGCATTAAAAGGAGAAAAATGCCACATTTTATCCAGATTCCTTAACAACTTCCTTTTATAAATTAATTTATGATTGTTCAAAATAAGGCTGTACCAATATAAAACAAATATATATTTATGAGCATATAATATTGTATTACTATACATTTATTTATTGACAGTTGACAAAAATCTGCCTGGCAGGGGATCAGAATTAGAAAATGCCTAGCATGTGAGAGATGACCAAAAATATTCATTTTACAAAGCATGTGTATTCTGTTTCCCATTAGATACAATCTGAACAAATGCAGACTTGTGTTACCTTCAGCAATTTGTTTAGAGGAAGGATATTGGATAAAGTTATATGTGTACATCTCTATTAAGATGAAGACTTTTTGCACTGTTGCCTTCCTATACTGGTTGCAAACCATTTTAGGATTCTGTTTAATTTGGCTTCTTATAAGTTGCTAATTGTGTTACACACCACTTCCTCATTAAAGCTTCACTACTACTAGCTGCGCTTCCTGCTGACTATGAGATGGATGACAGCCTCTTTCTGAAACTTTACTTTGAATGTTTCATCTCTGCTAATTTCTATTTAGCAGAGGAAGGATTGATTTCAGAGATTTCAGATTTCTGTTTTCCAAATAAATGTATAATAATTTTTTGACACCCCAAAAAAATTCTTTTAGCCTTTAATGGGTATATGTATATATTTTACCACTATACTAGTAAAACTCTCTATATAAAAGCATACATATGCAATAATGTATTCACTAACCCATGATTGGATCTTGTTGTTTTGCCAACTGATGCAAACTAGAGTTCCAGAGATTGAAAAAAAAGAAAAGAAAAAAAAAGAGTATCCCTATCTAGTACCTTTCTCCTTCCCCAAAGGAGATGAAAGAATGTATTTGGCATAGTTTGTAACTGGAGGAGGTATAGGATAACAGCATACGATTCAAAGCTTTAAAAGTGCTTTAGAATGCATTTTTAAATAATCTGTTTTCATTTTCATTTTTAAAAATCAAACACTTTTTCAATCAAAATTACAGCACCTGGCTTTAATCATTTAGAGCTATGAAATTTGTTGGCAGCTAAATTGTTTGCACTCTGATGCTAACAAATTAACCCAGCTTTACTGGAGTGGATAAGAGTTGCAATCACATCTTGAATTATTTTACTAAAACAGCCACTAGACTCTTTAAATCCCCATTAATAAGGAAGATTAGATGTTACTATAATTCAGATTCTGATATTACATTTGGCCAGTAGAGGGATGACTATATTATGGGCATTGCAGAGAAAGAGACTTAATGTGATATGTTTCAAAGCATTCTGATACAGGGAAATAAAATTATGGGCTAACATATGTTTTATACAGTTCAGTGGGAAATCTGTATATTGCCAGATTTTCCATTCTTCATCATTTCAACCACTTCTTTTAATTTCATTTTCCTGTTAAGACTGCTAAATAAATTTTATTTTTCCCAGGAGCTAACCGAGGCAGATCTAGGGATGGAAGAACCAAGCATCTCCTGCTGTAATAAAACTCTGTAATTTTTAAAACAAAACTTCTGCCTTGTACATTGTGTGACGTTTCTACATGCATAGTACAATGTTTATCTTCAAATAATGGAGCAGAACTCTTGAATTATTGCATGCAAATAGCATATTGAATTTTTCATTTTGTTTTAAGTGTCTGTGTTGCAAATATACAGTACATATGTGAATTCTGCAGAGGTCACCAACCTTTCTTGGTTGGCAGACCAGAGGGAAAGGGAGGGGTAAGCACGGGGCTGCAAGCATGCACGTGACGCAAACGGGGCAGGGCTAGTGCTTGCGTGATACTCGCTAGCCCGGCCCCGTTGTTGTGCTCAGTGCCCTGTTTCTGCACCCTGAAGCGCAGTGTCGGCCAGTTTTCATGCACTGAGGTGCGGCAGCATCCCATTTTTGCACTCTGAAGCACAGCGGCAACCCTTTTTCACGCCCTGAGGCACGGCAACGGCCTGTTTTTGCACCACCCGGCATGGCGTCTTGTTTTCACGCCCCGCAGTGAAGCGCTAGCACAAGTGTGTGTGTGTGTGCACGTGCACATGCCAGCCTTTCCCATGGCCTGGTGGCCAACAGCCCACAGCCCACTACCGGGCCACGGCCCACAGGTTGGGGACCCCTGTTTTAAAGGCATACATATCAGTGTTATTGTATATAAAAACCTGACACCTTTACATAATATGATAATTGCTTGTCTTTCTGTTGTGAGGTCATCTGCACTTCAAAATCTTTGTTAGGATATTTTCTTTTGAGACAATACTTGTAAGGGTATTGCTAAGCAACAGTTCCCAGTGTTCCAGTATTCCTTATACTGGAATTCTTGAGAATTGTCTAATCATAGAGACTGCATATATTGCCTCTGTGTGCATGTATGCATTTTTCTGTTGTCCCCTCAATGGCATCTCAGTGTTTGTATCTGCGCAATGGGAAGTACAGAATAGGCTCTATATACTCTGTCCTGGGTCATGTAAACAGGGAGGTGACGGTTAAAAAAGGAGCAATCAGTATTGGGGGAATTTTAGAATTTTTCCTCTAACCCTCCCAGCTTGATCTACATACAGCCTAATCTATACCATTTTTTAACCCAGTTGCATGAAATTATCCTTCTGACAGAAAGACTCCCAAACACCATTATATAACTTCTTTCCAACATTCTTTCTGAAATGAAGGGGTGGAGGGGGAAATAAAACAGGAATAGGGGAGGGGAAAGACAATCTTATAATCCTTCATGTACTTACAGTTCTTAGAAGTTCTGCAAAATAATTTGATATGGATCTTCTTTTTCACAAGCCTGAGTTTTTCATTTGTAGCAAGATCTAAATATGTTCAATTTTTTGTGAGCTGTCTAGAAGGATTTTTAATAGAAATCCAGTTTGTTTTCCTAGTTTTGTATTTCTCTTCTTTATCTGTTTTACTCTGCATTCCCATGCAGCAGTGTATTGATAACAGAAGTGATTGCTTGCAGAAGGCTTTGGAAAATTGAGCTGAGGGTTACAGTTTGCCCACTTCTGTTATGATTTAAGAGCTGTCCAGTCAATCTACAATTTGTAGATAAAAATGAGATGAGAGAATGCAGTCCTTAAAATTTCTCATCAGTAAATATGACGGATACTATCTTCCCTGATGAAATACATTAGTTTCATTGGCCCATAACTTCAACCTCTAATGTGGTTTGTCTGGTTTTGGATTAGTGTGATACATGATCATATCCATTACAATTTAGCATTATATTACAACTTAGTGTTATATGGATTGCATTCCCTCCAGAGTTGCATTCAATTGCCACTCTTTATGCTTTTAGGGAAGGAATCAAGATCTTCTTTAGCCAGGCCTTTTCAATTAAGTTAGTTTTAACAGCAGTTTTAATTGTTTCTGTGACATTCTAATTGCTTATGATTTGTTATTTAGTTTTAATTGCCATGAGTGCTGCTAGCAAATAAATAAAAACACCGACAAGTAGACATTACTTGTTCAGTGAAACAAGATTTTAAAAATCCTGACTTAATAATATATATAAACAGAGCAGGTATTTGATAGTACCTTTTCTGTGTTTGCTGTGTTTGTAGTGTTATCACACAATGGTTGTGTAAAAAAAACTGTCATGCAAATGATGGTCTAAATTTTGTTATTAAAAGAATACACTGGACCCATGCCTAAAATGTCAGCATGTGTTTCCTGTTTAAATTTCAGCCTATTCAAATCCATTTTTTTGTGTGTGTGATTGGAGGATGACAATAACCATGTTTTTAATTCATCTTTTCTTCCAATTAATGAGGCCAAATCTCAGTCAAATAGACTTTTATCCTAGTTGGGCTATTAGACATACTGTTCCCTGACCTGTTTGGATGATGAGACATGCTGTTTCATGACATCCTAACTGCAGAGATAATTGGAAACAAAGGAAGGATTTAATGTTTTATAGCTTTCTTGCACAAAACAAGATGAGAAAATGGCTGAAACTGATCGTATGCCTTTTCTCAGTGTTCATTCTAATTAAAGTTACTTCACACTGTTATATGGAATCCTAGGAGATAAACAATACTACTATTGCTTCCTTTCATTCAGAAGAATTCTGAATATTAGAGAACCCCTTCTGACATGTTTATAGTATACATGTTGCTTTTTCATACATCAAGTTTTAATTAAGTGATCTTGTATTCATACTTTATTATTGGTTATGTTCTGATAATTAATCTGTTTAATTGCTAAATATATTTTTCCATATCACTGTTTTATTTTTATTTTTTTTTAAATACAATTAATATGGTATTTTATACATTAAATAAAAAAGCAGCCCAACAACCACCCACCCCCCATTTCAATTAACAGATTAATTGATAATTTCAATTAATGGATTACGTTGTCTGAGCTTTGAAGCTTAGTAAGGTCAGACCTGATCAATATTTGGATAAAAGACTTCCAGATGCACTGCACACAGATTATAGACTAGATTATGAAATAGGGAAAAGATTCATAGAAGAATACAGGAAAACATATGCTGGCATTTTAGGTAAAGATCCAGTATATTCTTTTAATTAGAGATGTGGGGCAGCATCTGTATGCCCCCCCCATTTTTAATATACAAATGATTGTGTACTAACATAATCATCAAAACAAACATGAGAATTCAAAGCCTTTAGAAGTTTAGAGGAAAGGGCTCTTCCCTTCCCTTCCCTTCCCAGGTGGTCTACAAGCAGGAGAGAGAGTGGATTAAAACTACAAAGTAACAGGTGGTCATGAGGAAAAATTTCCTGACTGCAAATTTTGAGTTAGCAAAAAAGGCTGCCTAATGAAGTGGTAAATTCTCCTTTACTAGAGGTTTGGGCAGTCATCTGTCAGATATTCTGTATTGAACAGGGGGCAGATTAATGTCTAAGATTTATTCAAGTTTTATGATTTTCTGATTCCAGTGTTTATAACAACATCCTATAGTATGTGTTAATTTCTGTCAATAGATCAATATTTAGTACAGTCACACAGACCAGCAAAATTAATTTCTGTATTTTAAGTCTGTTGTGCTATTTTGATGATAATTAAAAATACCTTTAGCAAAACTTGCTGTTGCCGTTCTTCAAAAGGACTAGAGTGAATTCTAACCTGAATTAGAAGTTGAATTAACTCTTCAATCAGCATCAGAAGAATATGATTTGGCTCACAAAACATATAATATTCTCCATTTTGGTTTACCCACATCATGGTTTAGCACAATGAATGAACATTGTGGAGGAGCCCTGGTAGCGCAAGAACTGCGGGTGGTGCAGTGGTTAGAACGCAGTATAGCAGCCAAATTCTGCCCACAGCCTGGAGTTCAATCTTGATGGGCTCAAAGTTGACTTAGTCTTCTATCCTTCTGAGGTCGGTAAAATGAGGACTCAGATCACTGGGGATAATATGCTCACATTGTAAGCCACCCAGAGAGTGCTGTAGTATTAACATAACCTGAAGGATTGGAAAGAAGTTCAATTTAATTCAGAATTCTGTTTCCAGAAGTAAACAGTCATAACCCTCTGAAAATTTATAGCAAATTTAATAATAAGAAAAGAATATAAAATAGCTCGGTCTAGCTCTTCTCTGAAATGCTTCAATCTCTTGATATTCCATGTCCTGAAAGATGCAAACATAAAGATTCCATTTAACTACAGGAGCTAATTGACACAGCAGTTATTTTTTATAAAGTTGTCTACAATATTGGTCATTACCAATTGTATCATATTTTACCTTTAATCTATATAATTGTGTCCTTTAAGGTTCTGATGACCTAGACAAGGAAGAATAATTTGGCAATGATCTGAACTATAAAAGAGTTGACCACTATTATTATATCAGCATAGCTGAATTCTGTAGGAATTCTCTAGAATCATACTGGGAAACTAAATGTTTGGATTTCACTACTGGCACTAAATTTTTTTGCAAGTGCCAGCAATGCACAATTTACTTAATTAAAGGAACACTGAATATTCTTTAAGTGTGTAGGTGAGGAGTTTTCCTCTATGTGCTTACTGTTGATTGTGTTGGTAAGGAATTTTAAGAAATCAGATTAGCTTTTGTTTGCATACAGTACAATGAAATACTTTCTCAATAATCTTTGTAGCTGTTTCTTCAGCATATTGATGAATTTGAAATATAGCAATCCGTCTTCTATCTTTGTCATACACTTTAAAGTATGATTGAAAACTAGCACATGACATATTAATTGAGACTTAAATTCTTTTCTTCAAGGTCTTATAACATGTATAAAAATAGAATTGAGAAAGATTGGATGCTGAATTCTGTGTAGTCTGTCAACACCTGAATGCCTTTACAGTTCCCATGTCAGGAATAGATTACATATTAAATTCTAACCAAGCCCTCCTTTTTAGATGGTGTGTATTTATATGTGATCTCTGGTTAAAGTTTCCTTTACTCTATTGGAAGTGCTTAATTTTTTCCCATAGCAATGGAATACAATATTATCATTATTTTTGGTCCCTAATTGGTTCAGTGCTGTTTTTTCACTCTGAACTTCATTTCATACAATATAAAATTTTTATATGAAAGTATCTGCCTAAAAATTTAAATCTTGGTATATTATATGTAAATTGGAATTAATGATATTCCCATAACTGTATATATTGTGTTTACACAGGATGGAATCTTTCTCAACTTTGCTTATCCTACACAATGATTTTACATTTTCCCTATACAGTGGTTTTACATTTTTCCAAGATCATTTGTTCACAGCCCGATGTTTTAGGGCCATGATTCTTCTCTGGAAATTTTTTTTCAGACCCTGTGACTCAATTCCTAATGATATGAGTACTTTGTATCATAGCTTCAAGGACACCCTCCTCTACCATTTTAATTTTTTCTTGGATAAAGCAGGGGGCAAAGTATCAATCTACTATTTCAGTCAGTGCATGTGATTAGTGATGCTCCTTTGTGATCAATTGTCTGTTCAGGATTACCAGCAAAAAATTCTCTGCTTTTAAAAAGTTCTCTCTTCCTTTCTTTTTAAAAAATTATTTGCTAAGGACTTTAAAGTATGCTGTTGAGTCCGTATAGTTCTTGAACTTTCTCCCTTTTTTTTTTTCATCTTGGAGAATAAGAATTGAGGGGATTACTTACAGTGAACATACTGAAATGTAATTAACTTGTGAGAATCTTTCCCATTTATAAAATGGTTAAGTTGTCAAGGCATCAGATTTTTAAGCATCACTACCAAAGCTCCTAGTTGGTTAGTAAGTCACCACAGCCTTCTGTGAAGTACTGTCATAGTTTGGGGATGATGACAGACTTTAGGCAGGAAACTGTACAAAAGAAAATTCTCTTTGGCCAGAATTTTTCTCCTATCTTTGGTCGGCTGGCTATTTGGGACGAACCCTTTATAACTTTTTACTTTGCACCCATAAAACTCACATTTAAATGGTTTTGAAGCCTCTTCTAGTTCCCTTTATTCAGCTCTTCATCTCATTCATACACCGTTCTTTGGTTCCACTCCTCCTCATTTCTTGTAGCCTCCACGTTGTGTTCACTTCGCCAATCCATCTTTGTCTTCTGTTTCCACTTCTGTCTTTATTCAACATGCTTTTTTTATTTTCTCTATATCTGCTGAGTTGATTCTCTCCATTGTTAAAAGAAGACTCTCTTTTCTTCGCCTTCTCTTTTATGTTCTCCATTTTCTTTCTAATTTTGTTTCTCTTCACTGGTACATTTTTCCTCTGTACAGTACCTGCACATTTGCTCTCTCTTTCATTTCATTTATAACTTCATTTATACCAAAAACTCCTTGCTTTCTGAAAGGCTCTTTCATGCCCAAACATCTTTGCAATAAACTATTTTCACAGCACTTTTATTATGAGCTTGGACAAGGAAAAGGTTTGAATTGAGGAGCGGAGAAAAGAAAATATTCCTGTCTTTAAACAGGAGTAAAAAGAGGAATCAGATAACAACCGACTGGTTATCTTGTTATTGACAAATTCTGCAACAAAGTTTTCAGCCATCAGTTTGTAGGATTTAGAAAATAATAGATAGCATAGTAGTAGTAGTCTATTTCTTCCCACATCTGAGGAGAGCCTGGTATTCTTCCCCTTGCAAAGCCTGTACAGCCATCTTATTTAGCTTTTGAGGCTTACAGTAATTGTTCTTCATCCCAAAGCATATATGGGGAAGCTCTGGAATCTTCTGAAATTCATACTTAGTTCTCCATCATTTGATTGAAAAATATGTATCAAATAGATCTATATCAGTTTATGCTGTCTTTATAGATCTC